GGTTTGGGAAGGGAAGGGAGTAGGAAAAAAAAAAAAAGAAAAGAAAGGAAAGAAAACAAAAGAGAAAGTACATAATCCTGTCCAAACTCTCAGAATCTCAGGCACTCCACTCAGTTTTCTGTCCAGGTCTGCACTGTTCTTACTTTGTTAGAGAACAATAGGTAACCCCAAATTAACCATCTATAAAAATGATGGGCCAGGATAACAAAGGAAAACAATACATTTGTTTTCAATATTCCAAAGAACATTTCATATCCAAATCAGGCAATTTGATAAATAATATGAAGTACTAATAAATTTCAATAGAGGATAATGGTCTGAAATTTATATATTAAAAAATTAAGGACACTTCTCCAAATTCCAGTTGCTTTAAAAAAAAAAATAATTAAGTGTTCTCTAGTTTATTTCAACATTTGGAATCTCTTCTTAGACTACTGGAGGAAGTTTTTTAAACAAATGAGTTACTTTTCTCCAAAAACTAAATCAACCCATCAATTCATTTTACACAGATCATTGAACAACTACTAAATAATGACAGATTTTGGCCCAAGTAGATCTGGCCTAGGTCTGAGATTTTCAATCCAATGGAAAGATGCTTAATATCCAGCCCTTGTGTATTTTATAATTCCCATAAAAGTATCAATTTCTATGTGAATTATGTGAAACCTGAAAAGTTCTGTCATTTCAAGACTGAAGACAGACAGTTTTCCATCTCAGGTTTCTGTCTCTCCTCACTGCTACTTCAGTGCTTACTGCAGACACTCAGAGCAGCCTGGGCTTCAGGCACAGAGCAAGAAATGAGTGATGCAGCTGGCAACACATCCCTGGTTTCAAGCTTTGATTGAGCACTAGGGAATATGAAACACAGGCTCTTAGCAAGCTTTTTACAATGCATTTGATTGTGCTAAAGAAAGATGGAGGAATCATAGGAAGATATGAAATGGTCACGCAATTAGAGAAAAAAAATCAGTGTTATGCATGAGTGGATTTGTTTTATTTTTTGTTTGGTTTGTGGGATTTTTTGTTCTGAAAGTCATAATCTTCCTAGAAAAAAACAAAGAGAAAGGAGAGCAGTTAGTGCACAGGGATTGAGCACATCAAAATTGTGACACGGTAGTCAGAAGCAAGCATCCCTCAGTGTAATGCAGGAAGCAAGCTGTTTCACTATTCACTTTCAAAGGATGTTGTCCAGTTATCTGTTCTCCTGTCTCTTAATGACAGCCATTGTAAAACTCAGAAGTAATTTTTTAAAATTTTCATTGTTAAAATCATCCAGAGTATTCCAGAGTTGTAAAGACGATGTCTAACACAGAACTGCAGTATGTTGTGATCACACTATAGAGACTAGATGTAGGGACAAGAACGAAAAATTACACTTTGTTTCTCTGGATCCCATTGAACCATCTCAACTTGAGAACAAGTCCATGGAGAAGTGCTTTCTAACACACTGCTATAGATCAGATGCAAATATTTTGTTAGAAGGAATATTTACACCATTCTCCCCACTCCAAAAAACCTGTCACATTTGCAGGTGTCCCAAAGAATTATACTTAGGGAGTGTCTACTGTCTAAGCCTATACCTACACCAGCAAGTTTTCCTAATTATGTGTGTCTGGATATGACATATTGCAAATCTGGCTATTAGGCTCACATTCTTGCTTGCTGGCTTCCAGTTAAGTCCATAGTCCCAAACAGATTTTCTCAGTGTATCTTGAAGCATGGCTCTTGTGCAGAAAGATCTTTCTTTGGGAAAGACCTTGTGTAGCCTAGATCTCATGAAGGCCAATACACTTGGCATTTCTGCATGCTTCAGAGTCTTTAGAGGGGTGCCTTGTCAGGGAGATGACAGCTGGACACAGACAGAGTGATTGTTAATAAGGGCATTTATTAGAGTCAGCTGTCAAGCTGTTAGACTTAGATATGCTTTAAAAAAATCACTAAGTGGTGTGCTATGAAGAAAATATTTTTGCTTGTGTAGTCTGAATGATAAATATTAGTCATATGCAGTATTGTTGACAGTTCTTTGAGAGGAAAACCTGGATACTATTTTAACACATACCAGTACACTTGCATCTATTTTGTATCCTTAACATTTTTATTACGTGCAAAAAGGCAAGTAAAACAAATTAAACTCAATCATTCCATGAAAAACAAATATAGAAGTATGCCACCTGTTAGTCTGATAACAAAAATATTTTACAAACTTCTTATTAACATACTAAAAGACCTTTTAAAAGCAATAAGGGGATTTATTATGGTGCTAAGAAAAGCATGTTGAGAAGTTAAAAAGTATTAAAAACATTGAACAGTATTTTCCTGGAATTAAAAAAAATAAATAATGAGTATGAAGAGAGTGCAAGCTGTTTATCATAGAACCACAGAATGGTTTGGGTTGGAAGGGACCTTTCAAGGGTCATTAAGGATCACTTAGTCCAACCCTCATGCACTGAGCAGGGACATCTGCAAGTGGATTAAGTTCCTCAGAGCTCGATCCAGCCAGACTTTGAATGTTTCCAGGGACTGGGCATCTACCTTCTCTCTGGGCTTTAGACCTAGGTTTATGGATGCTCTAGCCGTCAAAGATTTGCCATACTTCATTTTATTCTCCACATGTCCAGCACAAGTTGTTAAAGATGTGGTTTGTATTGTTTACTGTCCAAGAAAACATGCACAGCAGCACAAAGAGTGAATATTACTAGTGGTGCATTGGACGTGATAGTATTTTGGGTCAATTTATGCAATTATCTGCACCATTTTGAAGATGTCTGGTGCTGTAGGGCACTGTCCCCTCTGCTTCTTTCAGTCCCTCATCCTTCTGCCACAGATCTTCTGTTTCTTCTCCAGCGTTGGATCCTCTCAGTTCCTCATTGCTCACTCAGTTTTCTCTTTGCACTTCCTGATCTGAGTCAGTCTTTGAATGCTGTGAAAGGCTTCTGACAAAGACACTGATCAAGAAAGTTAACATGACTGTTCAAGGGGACAAAATAGTGATGAAATCCATCTACACTTTTACTTCCCCTCCATACTTTGTCGCCTATAAAGATTGTCTCACTGATATGTAGAAAATCAAAGCATTTTTCTTCCTTTTTCTTTGTAAGTGCAGTGATGCTGCAGAGATTTTCTCCTGTGTGGCAATCATAGTTCCTAGCCATGGGGAATGGTGTTTAAGATGAGCCTAAAGCTACGTGAATTTTTATAGGGAACAATTTAAGGAACAAATTACAGATGATGTGGTTAAGGCTGCAATTTTTATTCCTGAGAGTGATAAAAGACTTTTTATTGTCCCTCTGCTACTTAATTGTACACAGAAAGGATCTCCATGGATTTCAATGCATGTTGGCATTCAAAAGTATATGGGGCAAAAGAACTACATGCGTTTTTACTAAAAATCCTGAGAGTATCTTCTAGAGTGTCCAGGACATTTGTCTACAGACCAACTAAGACAGGTATGTTTCTGCTGCTTAGCAACACATACCAAAAAAACAACTCTCTTTTCCTGTCCTTGTTTCTATGCCAGCTATGTTACCTTTAACTCTTTCTCAGCATGTTCATGGTCTATCTGGGACCAATACACTGTGTTTTAATGTAATATGCCTTTGTATTCCTTTTTAGAAGAAGCACGGGATTGGTCCATCAAGGCACAGATATTCAATTAGGCAAACGTGTTTTTGTTCATAGTGGTGAGGCATAGCTTTGCTGGTAGGGATGTAGCTGTCTTATTACTGTTTATAGTATCAACATTCAACAATGACTCCAAAGTTTTCTGGAGCTGTATGCAAAACATACCTCTCAATATTAAATAAAATAATAATAAATAGTAAATAAAAATACTATAAATAGATTTGTAAAAGGAAATGGTTCTTTTAAGAGTCCCTAAAGTCCATCTGCCCTTGCAAAATGGTGGAAGATTGGTGTTGGACCAAATAAAAAGTCTCTGATATGAAATGCATGCCCTAACTACATCCATCATCTTTCCTGTGATCACTTTTTTGCTGTTCCTTTCAATTCTGTATAAAACAGCTGGAACATTTCAGTTTTTCTCCCTTTCACTTCTTCTTCATATACATTCATACAACTGCCCTTTTTTGTTGAAAACATGATATTCAGATCAGAAGTCAAGGTGACTCTGACCTGCATCATGCAAGTCTCTTTTGAAAGGTTAAGTCCCTGAAGCAGTTCCAGATTTACTTTTCTCAGCCCTCACCTTATGGAGGGTTTGGCCTATTTCTTTACATTTGCCATTTATTAATAATTTGCTTCTCAGCTTCATCATAATCCTATTTTGTTAATAATTTCTTGCAGTGAGTACTGTGCCTGCAATTGCCTCATGATTAGTCTTACCCCCCAACAAACTCTTTCTTGGGTTTGGCAGAAATAGAAGGTCAAGATGCTTTTGTTTTTCTTAGACAATGGCACATGTAAATAATTAGGACATAATGCTGTACAACAAGGTGTTTCCATAATGTCAAAGATAAAGGATATAGGAAAACTGAGAATTAAACTCCTGATCACTGGGACCTCCAGGCAGTCAGTGCAGAAGAAGACCCTGAGTAGTTACAGAGCAGCAACTGTTGTGTCGTTGTTAGAAGAGCAGAAACCAACACAGTTTTGCAACAGCTCTTGATTTGTCCTTGTTAGATGTCATCCTTGTGCATAACAGAGGCAATTTATTTTATGACAGAAGGGCTTGGTTGCACCTAGCTAGAGTGCATTATGTGGAACCACATTCAAGGCTACAGCAACAAAAGTTGAGTTCTTGCAAAAATCTTGAGGCACAGAGGATGAATACAACAGGCATTGTCATATCTGTAATATGTGCCCTTAAAACTGTGATTCATGACAGAACATAGAGCAGCCTCCCAGGCTGGAGGGTCTCACTCCCCCTGAAGTCATTACCAAAAATTCCACTGGAGATTAATTGGACCCTAGAGGTGAGAGGCCTTTGTAAGTAGCTGTTGAAAAGCAGAGGCATCCCTTCAGCAGTCTTACACTGCGTACAGTTGTTTCCTTTCTTTTCTTAATGGTCCTGAACTACTCCTGAATAGCATTCACTGAAAGCACCAGGAAGGAGAAAAAAATGAAACTACAGCAATTCTCCAAACCTTGTTTATTGAATGTCAAACTGAGAGCAGTTATTGACCCAGGGGGATTACGATTTATTCACAGCGCCAAGTAATTATAGAAGTGACATTAGATCATCATTTACACTCACAGTATAGTCATGAATGACAATGTCAGCTAAAACAAGGACAAATGAGCAAGGGCCTACAGTTTATAATATTCCCTAGAAGGATTGGACAGGGTGTAAGTAAATGAGGGTTATCTGGTCTAGTAGCTGCTTGTTTCCATCAGAAATTACCACCTGCTGTTCTTAGCGGCAGTTAACACTAATATGAGAATCCCTGAGCCAAAGCAATAAACTAACAGCAAATGTTGTTTTCTATTTTCTATCTTTTCAGTTAGGTAACAGATAGAGGAAATTACAGAAGAGACCTCTTAGGCAGAAAGCTTTGGTACTCAGCAAATGTGCTCTTTTATCAGGAAATTCTGTAATAGAGTTTTGCAAAACTTACAGCACTTGGTTAAATTCATACAAGTTATTCATTTACAGGTCAGGTAGCAGTCCCCTTTGAATGTTTTCCACATAGTGCTTTCCAGATTACATTCCAAAATATGCAAACTCATCTGCTAGAAATATGAGAACTCATCAAATTCGAAATACTTACTGGTCTCTGGCATCTCATTGACTTATACAGATGTGCAAGCAAAACTGAAAATCCAATCCAGAAACATTCCATAGAAAACACCTATCTAAAATTGTTAGTGTTAGGATAAACAATGGGACTTTTGACATAACATACCAGTTTTGCAAACAGGAAGGCTGAAGGAAATTTTTGGAGGTCATTAGGAGACAATTGTCAATGTAGTTTTCCACTAGGTAAGATTTCTCTAGACAAGATTGTTTTACAGAAATATTGCTAAGACCCCATACCAATGGTTTATGAATCCTAGCAGCTGAAAGACCAATGAACATAGAAGAGAGGAGCACAGGAACATACACATTAACCTCTCACTGCAGCTTGGATAGCTCTATTTAACAAGGCAGCGAAAAAGAGAAAACAACAAAGTACTCTGATCACCTTACTATCAAAGGATATCAAGAAGAAAGAATTTCACATGGAGTTAACTTTTCAGCTTCCTTTTTTCATCTTTATCCAATCTAAAAAAAAATATCAATTAGTTCAGCTTAGGAAGGGTACCCCTAACTAAATAAACAGCACAAAATTCACTTCCCTGCTCATTCAAATTAACATTATGTCAAACACTCTGAAATAAAGGCCTTTTTTTTACAGCTGCTATGGAAAATAGAAAATCCTGCTGTTCTTCTCTATTTTTCAATGGCAAGTTCTCCTCTGTTTGTAGGTTGTGGAAGATGGACACCAACAGCAAAGGAAAGACAATCCCAGAAAAAATTAAGGAAGGCATAAAAGGAAGCAGTGAGCTGGTCAGTAAATACCTTATTAGGTGTCTATTTATTATGTTAATTAATCCTAATTAACCATATCTGTAGGCACAGAAGCAGTTAAACACCTGAAATTTTCAATCTGCAAATGTCTTACTTACAACATCATTTATATGTGTATTCTGTGAACACACAAATGTTTGCACACAATCGCACTCACATAACCACTAAATTTTCCACACTATATGTTTTACATGGTATATACCAGTGATATATTTCAGGATCTGTATTACATAATTCCTTTTTTTGACCCCGCTGTTATTCTCCAGATTTAAATAAAAAATGCTGAATAACAGCTTATTGAAACTTCATTTGAAATAGAAGATATAGATAAATATTTACCAGTCAACAGTTATTGCATTGATTTGAAATAGAGCTTTCTCCTTTTTTCTCCTATAGCTTTTCTCTTTTTAACTACTTATAACTAAGAAGGAAAGAAAACTGTAAGAAAGTTATTGTATGAATGAGAATTTGTAACTGCCTGCTGCTTGCAGGTGGATCTACTCTTTCTTATCAGTTGCTAACCTAACCCTCAAGTTTTGAAAAATAGAATGATATTTAAAAATAAAATTTAAAAAACCCCACAAAGATTCATTCTTGTTAAGCTAATTTTGTTCCTGGAGAAAAAATTACTGTTGACCATAGCGGTACTTGTTAGGCCACACCTGGAATACTGTATCCAGTTTTGATCTCCCCAGTTCAAAAGAGATAAATTGGAGAGAGTCCAGCAGAGGACCAGCAAGGTACTGAGAGAATTAAAAACTTGACACACAAAGAAAGGTTGAAGAATTCAAGTGTGTGACAAGAAGGCTCAGGTGGACTTCTTTGTGGTTTTCCAATATCTGAGAGAGAGTTCCAGAGAAGATGGAGATACTTTCTTTATGAGAATGCATAGCAACCGGAGAAAAGAAAAAAGGCACAAGCTGCTTTAGGGTAAATACTGTTTGTGCATAAGAATAAGTTCTTCAAAATGGGAATTGAGAATTGGGATAGGTTGCCCAAAGGAACCTTCCTGTTGCAAATATTCAAGTCGTAATTTGATAAGACCCTGAATAAGCCCTTACTTTCTAGAGAAGTTTGTGGCAGATGATAACCGGAGATCCCTTCAAACCTAGATTTTTCCGTGAGCTACTGTTCCTCAGATATCCTTATGGATATGAAAAAGTTTAGTTTAAGCTAGTTAAACCTACAAGTCAAAATTTACAGAATTTTAGCTTGCTTCTTCATGTGTCTTTGGTCTGAAACAGGAACCATGTGGTCAGCAGTGCCACAAGCACAACTGCAGTTACCTGCAAGGAATATTTCCAGCAACTAAAGGAAGGGACAGCACTGGAAACACTAATGAAAACTGGCATGTAAAATAATCAAGTGTCTGCTCCACAGTGATGGAAGGGAAGAAACTATATTGTAGTCTCCTGGTGTTTTCATGCAGCCAGTGGTCAGTATGCATGAATAACTCTACACCTAGTGCTGCCTTAAGGTTTTTTTGATTTTTGATTTTTTTAAATTTTTATAGGTTTTAGAAGTAGTCATGTAGCGAAAACAGATTTTAGAAGCAGCTGCATTTATTCCCTCACCCTTTAGCACAGTAATTACACGTACATTCAATCCTCTTACCCCATTCCATATTCCCCCCTAAATTCCAGTAGCATATTTAGTCTTCTTTTCAAGGTAGGCCCTCATTTTGTTTAAGAACACCTGTTCCCTGGCCTGGACCACCAGATATCACCCAGAACTTTGGACAAGCTGCAAGGACAGTGTGCCCTAAGAAGATGAAGACGAGGCAGGAAGGGTCCCAAAACGCCTCCAGACTCAATTCCCAAGGGGTAGGTCGGGGAGTGGAACAAGGCAAAGGCTGGGGGGTGGATAAATCAGGGATTGGATGGACATTATTATAAAATTGTAGCACTGGGTCGAGGGGCAGGGCGCACGTGACTTGTAACCCCAATGCCTGAGAGGCATCATTAAAACCTTCCCTTCCCTTACCTCCAAATTAAGTTGCCCTGGAGTTTTCCTCCCTGAGTTTTCTTTAGGCAACACTAGCCACAGTATAGTTAGTTTTTGTGTGTATTTCAACACAAATAACTATTTTCTGTTGTCAATAAAGTTGGTTTTTTCTTTAGATAAATGTCTAAAACTGTAAAATATTACAAGAATATAATGTATGAATTTTGCCCAAGTGCTGTGCTTGTTCAAAAGAGGGACTCCTCTTGTATGGAATCCAACACTGTTTCTATGGTTCTAAATGTTGCTTATTACAATAAATTAAAAGAGATAAAAAATCTTATAATGAGACAATTTGGGATCTTGACAATTGGTTACCATTAAAGCCAGGGTTCAATCCATCTTCAAAGATCATCTGATTTGCATATCTGTTCTCAGGAAATAATTGTTGTTTGATGCAAAGTTTACCATTACACACTAACAACAAGTACAATGTTGTAGTGGACATTGAAATGTCCTATACCATAATTCAAATGTTCAAGAATCAATGCATTTTTATTCTGAGACAGATTAAAACTCTCATATTGTTCTAACAGCCTAAAGCCTATATTTCTGCTGCAACATAACTGAAGTTAGGTTAAGAAGCAAAATATCCTCATTACAGTATAATTCTGACACCTAATAGTTCGTCCACCTCACGCAATGCAACAGTAAGAGTGATTTGTATGCAAAGCTGCTGCAAAAACACAGGTTAACTTTAATGGATGTAGGATTTTACATCCCTATTTGTAACATACTCCTACACTGTCCCTTGTGAAGGAATTACAGTGTTAGTTAAACAATAACCCCTTAATGACAAATATCTAAAGTCTCAAATTCTCTTTTTCGACAGTGCAGGCTAGGAAGGAAGTCCATTGCTTTCAGTGAAGTTGAAAAAGAATAAAATACTTATCTTACAACATCTTTTTACTTTAAGAAAAAATGCAAAAACATCACAGTGTATAAACTAACATTGTTTTTTGGCTAAAATAAGAGGAACAGGGCTATGTTCTGTAGCAGGCTGGTCTCTAAAATATTCATATATGTCTATTTTCTGACAAGCACTGTGAACGTGAGCAAATCACCATTTCTGCTAGGAACAGAGATAATCTTTGCAAATAGACTTCACATCTGAAACATTAATATTTTATTATAAGAGTTACTTCATATAAATAGTCCTATAGCAGAAAAACTAGGTGAAACTTTGAGGGCTTTTTCTTGAAATTTAAAATTTCTGTTAATCTTAAATCAAATGGACTTTAATAGTCTAGTTATATAGAACTTAGTGAAGGAAGTAATTCTGTTTCTTATTTCTGTTTCTCAGCTAAATTCCATGGTCAAAGACCTATATTTTTTAGTTAATTTCATGGGAACAGAAGTTTTTAGCCTATGATGTGCAATGTTCATGGATTCTTATGAAGCCCAAGAAAGGCAACTAATAAAGCAATTTCAGAGATATAAGTTTTCATGCAACTGTAATGAGTATCCTAAATTTCTAAAGACGTCTACCTTTGTATTGGAAAGTTAATATTGCAAAAAATGTTTAATGCTACTGACTCAGGTTCTGCTGCTGAGTGCCTGTTGTGACTCACCCCAGAAAGAGGAGGGTAACCCAGGTTCTTATTAATAAATCCCTTGGGGTGGATTAGAGTGAAACGACACTGAATAATCGGTATTTGCAAACATATATATATATAAGGTTTATTTTGGAACAATTTTGTTTCAAAAGGTAAACAGGTATGTTGCCATTTTGGGTGTTATCATTCTATAGCAATACAGCAATATTAAAGCATCTATAGCAATAAAGCAACATTAGAGCATAGCAATATGACACTATAAAGCACAGCAATATTAAAGCATAGCAATATAGCATTGTTATTAAAGCATAAGGATAACACTTAAGGAAATGTATAAGGGAGAGAAAGGGAAAGAAAGCATAAAGGTGGAAAGATGTATGTACCGCCCATGGGGTCCAGTGATGAAACTTGGTAGTTGCAGCTTCTATGTCTGTTAGTTGAAGTGGTGGTCTTTATCTGTTGGGGCTGGGGAAAGCCCCCTGCCAAACTCAAAGATGTTATGAGTTATTATACACTTCCAGCTCCGGTAGAAACTCTCTATACCTCTCCAGGGCAGAGAGTTTTACAGTGGATAGTTCCACAGGCCATGCCACGAGCCTCCAACATCTCCAAAGACAGTAGGAGCTGCCTATTGTGTTTCAATCATTGTCCATCGTGGTCCAGCGCTTGAGATGTATAGCCCAGGCTAGATGTGTAGAGTTCATGTAAAGGACATGATAAAAGGGTTTTTCCCACCTTTCAGGACTTGCCTCTTCTTAGCCTCTTCCCTTCCTCAGGCAGGCATCTGCACCCAGGATAGCTGGACAATGGCACCTACTTATCTGATCCTTTACCAGTATTCCAGGTGGGGGTGGGCTTTGCTGGGTGACCAGCAGCTCCTTTTCAGTTTGCAATAGTCTTGTGGTGATCTTAGAATGTGTAAATCGTTAACCCTTTCAAGTCTCTTACAGTGTTTGATCACACCTTCTTTCTCCATCAGTCAGTAGAACAGCCTTGTTATAAACTTTAGGAACACAAGAGATAAAATGGCCATTCTGTGCCATATTTTCATTTAAAAGGCATAAGTGCCAGCAGAATGGTTTCAGAGGTGATAATAGTTTCATAACCACTTGTGTACTATGCAGTTATGGTTTTATGTGAATATGCCTTTAGGTCATATGTCCTGCACCTGCCATATTTTACCTGGTATAGGACAGGTATAAAATTAGACATGCATTTCCCAACAGTTTGGCATACGGGTTACACTTGCTTCTGTATTTTGACAGGTAGATCAATTATTCAGTGTAAAAGGCAAGTTACCTTGCAGAAATCCTACTTTGGAGATGTTTGCTCAGCTACAATGCAGTAGAAAAATATTTAATTTTTTCACCTCAAAAAGCAAAAAATTTTGAGTGGATGTATGTTTATTTAGGGCTGAGAAGACGCTTGTTTTCTCTGCCTTTTAAAGGGCTGAATATGATCATACTTGCAGATAAAAGTTGTGGCTTAAAAGTTCTGTTTTGTTTGATTCTGTGAGAGATGCTGTTACTAATTTAATTAAAAACTCATTCATATATACTGTTGTGACTATACAGAGTTATCCAAAGCTCTAAAACTCCAAATACTGCACAGACTTTTCAAAGTTGAATGTACTGTATTGGCAAGATTCATTGCACATTAAATATATTTTTTTTAAAAAGTATCTTCCCAGCCTATCTTTAACCACACAAGAATGGAAAAAGAAAAAGTCAAATCTTTTTGGTTTAAGAAATGGTATTTATTGTTATATTCTGTTTTACTTTTTCTTCTGCAATGTATAAACACAGACAAATAAAAAACCAGAGAATTTCATTTCATTATGCTGTTTCAAATAACAGTTTAGTTTATAAAGCTTATCTAAAGAATTGATTAGATTTTATATTAGTCTGTACCTTCAGAAGAGTAAATAATGATATATCACAAACGCTAAATGGCTCAGTGTTGTCCTAAAATGTTTACATTTGCCTCAGTAAGCCTATCAGGTATCTGAACAGGCTTCTGACATCTTCTTTGAAGGCTTGACTTTTTTTTTCCCCCCAGAAACCTTGGCCTTAAAACTATTGCAATTGCCAGGCCTGTTAGACTGGTAGAAATGTTCAAAAAATATACATATGAATGTGAAATATTATCCAAAGTGGGTTTGTTTTAGGGAGGATACTGCATAACCAAAATAAAAGTCATTCCATTGCAGTCATATGTTGAAGAGCAAGAATCAGAATGGGAATGGTTCCAGGCGTGGAAAAAGATATACAGCAATTGAGAAAGGACTTTATTATATGGACTTTACAGTTATGATGTGGTTTTAAATATGTGCATTGTATGTTACCCCTACAAGTTGTAACTGCCCAGGCATGCCACGAGTTGTCTGCTCCCTGCTTTCCCGCTGCTCCCTCTGATTGGCTGAGAAAGCTGCAGTGAGGAGAGAGTTACCATTGGACCTTTCCGCTCCCAGTTCCTCCCCCTTCTCCTGAGTCCCTACTCCTATTTGTTCCCTGGTTGTCTGTCTCACGCTCCACCCCATTTTCTGGCCCTCTCCACGCCAGAGCTTATATAAACCCTTGCACACCTTCATTAAACAGCCATTACACCTCAAACCTCGCTTGGACCCTTTTGTGCAGTGTCGCAGTCCCACACCCCTCCCCCACGGACCGTGGCAGTCATATATATTTTGGTATGGCCAGCATCCAGCCTCTGACTAGAAACAGACTGGACACAGGACTTCAGGGACATCAGAAAGCTTTATTTATTTTTCTCCTGTCTACCTATATAATCAAGAAAATTGTGGGGTCAGCAATCCTACAAAGTTTCTTGTGCATTACAGAGGATGAGGTCATAAAGTCTTAAATTCTTTTCTCTATCTTGTTTGTTTGTTTGTTTTAAACCTTATTGCTTCCCAGATTATTTTTCATGGTTCTTAGAATGCAAAGACTAAAAGAAACGTTATGGAAATTTTCATAAGAAATACAAATAAAGAATTCTCTCTATTTTCTTCTTATACTCAGAAAAAAGGAGAAAATATGAACTTAAGAGTTTTTGAAATTGCCAGTTTTATTTTTGATCTTTCTTATCCAAAATAATTTCTTCCTCTCTAACCATATTTTTAGTTGTTTTTTAAGATTTATCATAGCCACCAAATATGTGCTTTGACATATCCATATTCCCTCTTAATTATCTGCTTTCAAGGTCTGTAGATAACTAATTCTGGATTTTTGGGCTTTTGTAAAAGGCCTCTTAAAGATAGCATTTTGCTGCTAATAAGTCAATATAGAGAAAAATGTCTGTGGCTCTTGAAATACAGTGTTCAAACAAACTAATAGCAATAAAAAAAAAAGCAATCTTATCAGATAATTATTAACTGCACATTAGGGAGCGGGTTTGACTTGTCTTTTAGAAAAGTTTTTCTAGATACATAAGGGAAAATTGTAATCACCTGGCTTTTATTTTGCCAGCAAGACAGGAAGAAAAAACTGTTCCTCTATTTTGCATTACTCAGACAGTTAACAGTGGGGAAAATAATTTTTCATTTATAGTTCCATCCTATACATACAAAGCCACAAAATTTAAGAGGAGGCTTCACGAATACATCTTGATCTTCTAGAGCACAGTGGAGGAGTACCAAACCCAGATTGAAAAATCAATCTTTCCCATTCTCAGGTCTGCCCTCTTCCCTCATCTCTCTCCCCACCAAAAAAACCCACAACTTTTA